GAATACGTCAATATTTTATTTAAGCCAAAGATGTGGAGGCACGACAGAAAAATTTAATCGCGAAATTAAGCCTAGATTCTGAGACATCTCTTGCGCTGAGATTCGAGAAATGAGGAGAGAAATCATGAAGATAACATGACGTAGGTGTCAACATAAGAGTCAACGTCACTTCAGGAAGTGAAAGTTAGCAAGAAAATTACCTAATTACCAAAAAATACCATACATTTTAATATATGTGACGCAGATTAATACAAATAAAATGTTAGTACGATCTGTATTGGCAGTAACCAACATCACAGCTATAAAATCGTATTTTACATTTTTCATAAATTTAATATTATTTATTGGCAAAATAATTATATTTCTTGAAACTTCGTTGCACGAACACACAGGGTTCTATCTCTTTCAGGATATTTTGCGTTACATGTTACAAAAAGGAAATGACACAAAAAGATAACGGTGTCAGTCAATATGTCGAACACGGTTATCTTGTGTTCCATCTTTCAGATGTCGACGATCAGCTGTGTAGGCAACAAACCCAGAATCCGCAATCTGCTTCATCTGCTACAATTTTAACATGAAACACGTGATTAATAAGACAATCCCAAACCGGTTGAAAGAGTCACCTTGTCACTAAGAGCTCTTAGAAAAGAGAGAAAGTTCCCTCTTGAAACTGAGCCCGTGCTATTCAGAGAATCTGGGTTGCGTTGTAATTACTGGAAACCGAGGTACCTGCAAAGACGTGCATACCCACGTTCATATGCACACGCATACACTCGCGCACATGCACACACGTACGTACACATATACGTACATTTAAATGCATAAACAGTTGCACACCGCACTGTGCACGGTTTTACAAAGCACTTGGGAGATAAGTTCGCATATATGTACGAGAAAGCGTGTGTACGTCACCAATGTGTAAGCACATATGCACATGCATAATCATACAGGCATGTAGACGTTTCTAAATCACCTATGAGGCGCTGAAGTACGTTTCAGAAAATAGGACTTCCGCTGCCTTCAACGAAGGGATGTTCTCAACACACAATCTTCACTGTCATTTGTAAGAAAATAGAACACGATCATTTCATGATTTTAGAAATAATTATGTCCAAATTTATCTTCATTGAAGAGGTAGATCCAAGAGAGTCCCATAAATCATAAATATCTCCTCCCTCTTTTCCAATAAAAAGGAATGGAAAAGTATGAGAATAGTTTCAATGAATAATGGAAGAAACTTAAATTAAAATGACAATATCGTAGCAAAGAAAAGTGGTGAGGGCGAGCGTCACATGTACGGGCATGAACCCGTTGTAAAAGAATTCTTGATAATAATATATGGCCTAGTGGAAAAGTCCTCCTAAACAATATGGTTTTTGATATTTTTCAAATTATCGGTTCTTTTGTTTCGTATGGAAGCATGTGCCCAAAAAATTATTACTGTTAATAAAATACTAGTGAAATCCGTGAATCAAAAGAATGTCAAATGAAAAACGTACTATTCATTATAGTTGACATAGACCGATTACATGAGGCAAAGAACAAACAGGAAATTGATCTGGGTCACATTTTTTGTGGGAAAAGCAAAAACTTCATCAGATAATCTCGAAAGGAAGGATACATGAGAAGGAAGGGGTAGATTATTGAAGAATAGCATGGTTCGGAAGGTATTACCTACCGGTCGGGACGTTTTAAACAGTTTCGTGGCATTGCAAATGAATGATTTCTTTCATTCAGTCTGTCCAGCTACAGAGTCCCTACCTCACAATTCAGTGATGAGTGGCATCTCGTCTCTCAAGACCTAACGTCACATCATGGAGAAACCATTTCCAGCTTCGTCACAAGGCATGTCCTTACAGCCTACGCTTGGAATGTGGGCAGCCGCTTTATCAGAGCCAAACTTTGTAAACCATACGGTGAACCTGATCGCTTGGCCATCTCCAGAGAATTGTGCAAGGGGCAATTTCCAGCTACTTCGTAGCTTGTGCGTACGGATTTTGCTTATAGGGTGGGCGTACAGGATGCGTGTATAGAATGGGAGTACAGAGGGCGCACATGGCATGGGAGTAGAGTGGACGTGCAGAATGGGCGTACAGGGTGGGCGGGCGTAGAGAGCGTGTGTGCCATGCGTGTTTGGATAAAACCGTCGCCTTATGGAGTATGCGACGCTTGAAATAAGTGCGTTCAGAAATTCTATCAGAATTGAACGTCGCCTCCTAAATGAATCCGATCACTTCACCATCTACCGAGAGTGTGCTCCTACTACAAATACATGCGTAGAATAGACGTATGATCAACTGGAACGTGGGAGCTTCGTTACGACTTAACTTCTGAAAGCGAAGCTCCCGACTGGATCTCCGCGTCCCAGCTGATCCACCGTCAATTCCCCGTACATTTTAATCGGAGACGAGCGCACGGGCCGATTCCCAGCTCCGTCGCAAGGGCGTGCGTGAGTGCGGTGGGCCGAGCAGCGGCGAAGGCGGCGGTGAAGGCGGTTGCCGGAAAGAGATAGGCGCTATCGGCGGATGTCACGACGCGCGCAGCTCCGCTGCTCTGCTCGCAGCAGGCCGCGCCGCGCCGCGCCGCCCGCTGCTCGAACGCCTGCGGAGAGCCGCTCGCAAGAAGATTCAGGCGTGACGTCAGAGAGAGGCGGCCGCGCCTCGGCCTCTCTCTTCGTGGACTCCCCTCGCCCCGGGCCACGCGGCACCAGAGCGGCACACACTGTTACCCCGTGTCGGCTTCCGCAACTCGATACTGACAAACTTCCTGATCGGGGAGGGAACTGCTCCTCAAGCAGTAGTGGATATCGACATTCAAAAAGTGCAAAAGAGGAAAGAGATTGTCTTCTTATTATGATGACTTATTATTAATATTACAATAATGATTAAAAATGTTAACGCCCTCGCAGTTAAAAATATTCGTTCTTTTCTGTGTTTGAAGGTAATTTAGTCAATATAAGAGAAGAAAGTTCAACTTAATTTAAATCGTAATTGTGTTCATTTATTTTGTACAATATTCGTTTTTATTTGTGTATATAAAAATATTTCCAAAAATTTTTAGAGAATTTTTCATTGGGACATAAGGGAACACAAAGTTGCACAAAACAGAAAAACACAATCGTAAATTTAAAAAATGAATATCAAAGCAAAAGATAAATTAATGGTAATTTCATATGAAAACCAGTATTCTAAATGCGAGTTGTTTAACAAAACTGTCTTTGCCAGTTTCATTCGCCAGATTTGATAACAAGAATCTTTCTCTTCTATATTCTCTCATCAAAAGATCTAGCATTTCTCACAGCGATTTCAAAAGATATTTCTCTATTATTGTAAGCGAATACTACAAAAATATGTTACAAAAAAAATAAAAAATATGAAAATCCACATAATATTATATTCAAAATCAAGTACTTGTTTACAAGACCTAATAATACTCTCTTTCCAGATAAACTGGAAAGAGCGAGCGAGGGGAGAACACATTCCAAAGATACGTATAAACAAGAAGCAGGTTTCACGATTTTATTGTTTTATATTTCTATCACTGCTTATCATAGCATTTCATTTGAATTACGTAGTTTAAATCATAAGAACTTTTCCAGATACGGTTTCCGTTCTGACAGGATATCGTTCCCTGTCTCTATCGATTGTGTTTTGATTTTATCGTTATTTACTGTTCAGAGGGGAAATACCTGCACATGACTCGTTTTCCAGCAGATGGAAGAAGTTAAATTCGACACAGCCCGTCTTCCTTGAATCCCAATGGTCTGCTATACTAGCCCTGTTATAATATTAGCGCGAAAATCTTTCCTAGCTTACAAATTGATCCCAGATACAGTTTAATTTCGATTCAGGGAATATCAAATCAGGCGTGAATTTCAAAAGTTGAGAATTATTCAAGTTTTTCGCTGTTGTCTTTATTTCTTTGACAGAAATTTCAATTCACAATTTTCTTCACTAATCATCTACATCAATTTTTACATGCCTTCTGTATTCCACACGTCATGGATTTAATATCGATACTGCAATTTTTTTAAAGTGGCCGATGAAATTAGGTCATTATTACATCTCCTGCCTTATTAAATGCCTTGTTACCTCGATTGTGTGTTCTCCACGGTTAAAAAGTTTCATTTTATAAAGTAGGAGGTGTAACAATGACCAAATGTCTTCGGCCACTTCAAAAAAATCAAAGTAAACAATCTTCCAAGAAAGAGTCAGGCACTTACCATAATGGAACATAATCTTTATTTGGCCACGTCAATATTTTTAATACGAGTGCCACCCAAGATTTGAAGGGTCTAACATTAATGGAAAAGAAATCAGGGACGAGAGAAACGGGGCGAGGGAAACTTTGAATATAATCAGCAAAGAAAACTTTTCTTTGAAAGTAAATTGGCATTACAATGCGGCGGGGACAAAGCATATGAAGGGCGAACCACGAAAATCGCCTATACGTAAATTTTATTCATTTCTATCAGAGCACGTAGAGTAATTAGGTCTTAAAGAGACCCCTCCCCCGCCACGCTCCTCTGAGGATGTACCGTCTACCCTACTTTAACCCTATTACACTACCCCCTTTACTAAAACTCTATTTTATTTTGATTTAATTCACTTTATTTTAAGATGAGTCTGCGGCAGCTAAAGTTTGGGGAACTGCTCCGCTCATACATATTTTCGTTCTAAACAATTGTGTCATACTATGGTTTATGAAAAGAACTGTGCAAACAGAGAAGTAAGGAAAAAGAATCTGTACACCTCTTATCACAGCAACACAATGGCAAAGCCATTATATACGTCGTTAACATTTGTGTGTCAATCGCTAGCGAACACACGAAATTCTTCAGCTAATACACGAAATGCCATCCACCTATTCGTCAAACGCCTATAAAACCTACTCACTGACAACACGCGGAAGATGACGGATGACTGTCTACGCACGATGACGCATACATGTCCGACTGCGGTGTTGACACCGCAAGCGCGTGAAGTTCTGTCACTCACCGTCAACCGCAGCGTCAGCCGCAGCGATCAGCACCAGCGCCGTCAGGGCCGCGGCGAACTTCGCGCGCCAGGGCCCGGTCGCGCCGAGGCCGCCCATCGCCACAACAGGACGCCGCCGCTGCCAAGGTGCTCCTCCTCCTCTTCTTCTTCCGCTTCTCGGCGTCGTCAGTCCAGACGCGACAGCACACAGGCACTCGCGCACTCCGTCGTCGTCAAGACGGTCACGGCGACCACCCAACCGAACGCGTGCGCGCGGCCGCAAAGCAACGACATCCGCTCTCACTCGCAGCCACCGCCGCTGCCTCTTCTGCGTCTACCGCCCGACTGCGCAGCCGCGCCCTCGGCCGCCCGACCGCGCTGCTTCGCGCGCCGACCGACAGGCAGCGCGGCGTGCCGCGGCGCGCCTGCGTCTCCGCGCCGTCGGTAGAGGGCTCTACCGGCGCTCCTTGGGCCTCGACGACGCCGTCGAGGATTTCGCCTGCTTCGGGCATTTAAACAGACTGCCCGCCATCTCGAATTAATACAACGCAGAGGATTTTTAATGCGGTGGGTGAATTTTCGTCTGAGCAGTTTCATCCTGATTCAAAATTATTCATATTGTTATTGCTTATTTATCTATTTTTTTGATACATTGATATTATTCATTGTATATATTCACGAATTCAAAGGTGGGTCAGTGCATCAACTTTTAGATAGCAAGGTAAAATCCAACCGGTATCTGGAAGAGAATTATACAGGCCGACTGCTTAGATAAGTAGTCTGTATATTCTCCGATCGTCACCAGCCGAAAGGCGGGGCAGTATCCTACAAAACGGGCAAAGGGCCATAGACAGCGGGTCATTTTTCCTTCCGGTTCCTTGTCCTATTTACTTTCTTTACTTACCAGCACTTATATTCACTCCACTATCATATACGTCGAGGGCTTAGAGCTTGACCCAGCCGGGATGGTGCTCACAAGGGAAGATACCTGAAGGGAGAATTCAGTAGGATTCAGTTAGATTTGTAGGATAATTTCAAATGCCAAATTGTTCTAATATAAATATAAAAAATGGAATAGTATTCTGTTGATTGGGAGCGACCACATTTTTGGGTTTTCTACCTACTTTTAAGTCTTAATAAATACTTAAGTTAACTACCTAATTTTAAGTCTTAATAAATTATTTTTTACGCACTACATCTGATGATGTGAGAACCAGCCAAATCTATATTTAAAGTTTCTTTCTATTTAGAACTACATTTATTCAGCATTACGTTTTTACACAGTTAAACAAATAAAAACAAAAATAATTGTCAGAGGCAATGGATTTTCTTGTACTAGAAACTGAGAACAAAGAAGAGAAAGATATATACACAATAAAAGAACAAATGAGAAAGAAAATCGATTTAATGTGAAACAAACTATTAGTAATATTATTACTAGATGATAATATTATAATTATATTAACGTTACCTTTCTTCTTAATCATTCTAGAAATTACTAAATCAGAAAAACTATTTGGTTCGTAAGGATACAATCCATTCTCTATTTAACAATATCCACTTTAAGATGTTTTCTTTAATGCAAGTTTACTGTCACTTAAAACTGAGACCAATTGCCTATTTATTAAATATTCTTAAGGATGTAATATAACAAGTTTAACTCAAATATTTTATCGATAGAAATAATTTATTTAATACAACATTATTTTTAATTTAGTGCGCAATAGTTGTACAACTCCAACTCACCTTCGTATGCATCCGAGGGTTGTTTCTAATTTTGTAGAATAGGTATATCCAAAAACGTAATAGCTGGCAATTATCACACCTTCAATAACGATTTTAATTTAAGCATTACATTTAACATACAAATACATTAATATCCTTTTAATGTAGAATGTACATTAAAATGTATCTACAGTCGTACATTAATCCACATTAAATTAAATGTAAGTTCTGACAGTGTAAGTCGAATTCAGCTGCTGTCTGGAGAAGAATTATAGTGAGCTAGGAAGTTTTCCGTGGCTTCTTCGATCAAAACCAGGCGAATACCGGAGCAGTACCCTAACGAGCGGGCCATGGTCCGCGGGGGATATTTCTTTTTCATGTCCTATCCCCATAACTTACTCACTTTTTCACTTACATGCACAGTAGTATTACTCGCGCAGCCCAACGATGGATTGAAGAAATGCGGGTAGAGTGGGGGATATTAGTAACGAAATCGGCCACTAGATTTTATAAAGCAGTGCCAATATCTAGAGAATCAGTTATGCCTTCACAATTTTCTCAATCATTTGCGTTCCAACTTTCTCAGGAGTTCGAGGTGGATCCTGTGTTGGATCTTCATTTGCTTCGGACATTTCTTTAGATTTTTTGGAGAAAATCACGTTAAGTTCTCGTCTTCAACGGAAAATAGTTTCAGTAAAGATGTATTTGGAATGTTGTCATCAGTGCAAACTGCGAGCTTTTGTCTTCAACTGTTTATTGAGTCAGAGAGGGAAAGCAAGGTCATCTATCAAGAAAAGTTGCCACATATGTCAGAATACCAATCGGGAGCTTAGAGCTAGTCCCGGCTGGTGCGGTGGCCCACTGGTGGGATATACCTGGTTGCGGAAAACCTGGCAAGTGCAGGTAGGTGCCGGATCTCCATATCCAGCAGGGGAAAATCACTGCCTCCTCCCGCGATAAAAGAAAACAAACATGAACTGCACTTACTGAATGACCTCAGCAGTTGCCGCGCCCGGAACTCTGGCCAATCAATGAATTGAAAAATGGAAAACTTGTAACAAAAATAATTGCATTACGTTGCGCATCTAGATAGTAAATTTCCCTATTTTCTGAAATAAAAGATAACATAGTTACATGCAAAACTCTACTGGCAACAGGTACAGCAATGTTTGAGTTATTTTACGACTTAGTCACTACACGAATTGAGAGACTTGTCATATAGTGGTATCAACTTTTGTATTGTATTTGTCTCGTAGAAGTGTGCTACCTGGCACTGGAACCAGCGTGACACAGCCGTCTCCAGCTCTTCATTGTTGTGAAAACGCTGACGGGAGTATAAGAATGTCTTCAGGGGCAGGAAAAGATGAAAATCGCTGGGTGCAAGAATAAGCGGCGCCATTTCGGGCCACTGCTGTCGCGTTACTGGCACTCGGCGGGGTTTGTCCGGCCGGTACATGATTGATACGTCAAACATTTATTACGCATGGTCTATTTTCCCGACTAAATGCGTGTACTTTCAAAGCACAAAAATGAGGAAATTACTCTTGCCTGCTCCCATCTATCGCCGCCCAATGTACATTTTTTTAAAAATGTTCTTAATGTTTCTGTTTCCTAATAGTAAAACGGAAATATTATTTTCAGAATATTAAAGAACAGTAAAACCTCATTCTAAATGACAATTTTCTTTGAAAAATTTAGAGCAGTTTTTTTTAAGAAAATGGCATTTAAGCGTTACTGTAAAATCAAAATGTTTAACCTCTTTTCACAAAAAACTATTAAGTTTTCGAAAAACTTCATACGACGTAATTTCAAGCACTTCCTGTCATAAATGCAAGAGTGTTTACAAATTGCTACAAATGTGCATTTTAAAGGTGTGAGAGATCTTTCAAAAAAATTACATTTGTGTAATATTCGAAAAACCAAAAATACAACAAAAAGAACTTTCCGTCATATTGAGGAGTGCAATTAGCACTATCCTTTCGAAAAGTTTGAAGAAAAACATTTGGAGCTGTTTCTGAGACAATGGCGTTTGATCGTTATGGAATTGCGAAATTTTGAGGTAGTCGCTACAGTGACGTCACTGGTGATATCCAAGCTCCTGATTGGATGAAATCGTGAACAGTTGATATGTGTCAGGTGCACGTCTAAAAAATTCTAAGTATAATTGCGCGAAACAGCACAGTGGCTCACGTTCACTTGCTTGGCTCTCAGAAAGAGACCTTACCCCGTCAACATTATTTCCGGTTGCGTCGGCCACACACCAAAATGTAGAAGTCGCCGTAGCACCTCTTGTAAGCAGAGTAAGAAAGAGATAAGATGTCTCACGCCTCTGGAGAATAGTTGAAGGCATTTTCCATACGAACCACCAAAATACAGTGAGGTTCAGGATTGCCTTTCATAACTAAAAGCCTAAGGACTGAAAGCAGGGTTATTTTTTCGATAAATTTTAGAGGTTTCTACAATTTTTTCGTGTGTTTGTCATTAAGTTAATTTTTGTCCTGCACTTTTACCATTTTCATTTTTCTCTCTGGGTCTTTTGGTGAGGATGCATGCCCCCCCTCCTTCTATCCGACACTGCGATTACATCACTAACATATACAAAAGCTTGAATTACGCATCTAAATTTGTTTTGATAAAAGAAATTTAAGTAAATTTTCTTTGCTTTTAAGGCATTTTAAGAATATTTTATGAGTATTTTATTGATGAAGTTTGGCGATGTTGTAGGTCATCAAAATACGTCCCATTTATATTTCTCCATCCTAGGGATATTACATAAATGCCAGACTGTGATTCGTGTGTGATCGGTACATTAACTTTTATTCAAAGCAATATTTATACAAGTTTTTCATTCAAAATGCTTTGGTGGAATGCGTTCACATTACATATTACGTGGAATAATGCAAGCTTAGCTCAGCTCATGCTCCGATATGTTTTTATTCGTTTTAATGATTATCCGAAAATATTTTTACAGAGTAGAGAGAAAGTTATATAATGCTCGGCGAAAAAACGGCGAATTTTCGCCAGAAACACCCTTGTTACAGGACCCTGGTAACGAAATGTTGGCTAAATCCAGTTGAAAAATTTAGAATATAAAATCTCTAACACGTGGTGCAGCCGAATTCTTGTTTAGTAGGTCCTTAAAAACGAAAAATCCATATTTCCCAATCGATCTGGCTGATGTCACGGCCACTGCAATTTGAAACCGATATTTGAAATTTGAGAGTATTTTACACGAAGACCCTGTGACATTTTTCAAATTACAAAAAACCGCTCCATCGTTTATTATTATTATTATTATTATTATTATTATTATTATTATTATTATTATTATTATTATTATTTGTTAGATAGTGTGAAGGACGTTTAAGAGAATGGTAGAGACCTCGTGTTCGTTGAAAATACTCATTTTACAAAAATAACAAAAGTTCAACATTTTTTCGGTGAACAAAAATATTAAAAATAGAGATTTTTTCCTTAATAATAATTGAGAAAATTAAGATATGAGAATTGAGAAAATGAAAAAAAAATGTACCTAGAGCGGCAATAGATGGCAGCTGGCAAGAATATGTGGCACGTCGAAATAGCTACCAAAGGAAATAGACAACTAATAGGGAAAAATC